TTCCAAACAATCATATATGAATTAAAAATTGGAAAATCAGCAATGAAAATATGACTTGTTTTATCAACCCACACGAATAATATATCAGAAAAAATAACAAAAGTTCATTTGAATTCAGTTTTTCTGCTCATGGTTTAATATAAAAAGTTTTAAAGAGTAACTTTTTGAGAGTCTATTTATTTTTTTTTGCCGAAAGTCTGCTTCAAATTAAATTTGTTTAAAAAAAATTTGTTGCGCGATGCTTTTCCGTTACAGCTATTTAATTTCCTGTCAGCCTGGTGAAATTAATCATCTTTTAGACTGTTTAACTTTTTCCTCTACTTTAGTCTTTAAATAGATTTCATTTTCGTTTTATACAACTGGAAACTCTAATTAGTTCTAATGTCAATATCCCGTAAAAATAACAGAATAAGACGAGATAAATTTTCCCCTGTACGACCTGTTTGAAATTATTTCTTTGGTTTTCTCGATTGATACCGTCGGCTGTAACTTATAGTTAGCTATAAATAGTATCATAGGGAAGCAGATGCTTATAAACCAAGCTAATTTTTTTTATTTCACTCAACAAAAAATGATTAAAAATTTAAATTTTTTAACTGCAATTATTTTATTGAAACTTTTAAACTCTATTTTAAATTTCTTATATTGATTCATTAGTCTCGTTTCTCTTTAATATACAACCTGCTTTTAGATATCTTTTCCTTTTAGATATCTTTTCCTTTAAGAAATTAATTTGTGTTATAATTTCCTTCTACACAATGTTGCAAATTGTCCCCAGAAAAATTAGTAGGAGAGATAAAAGCAAAGTTAGACTACTATCTCACGTTGCTCCACGCCACTTGCCAAACAGAATGTATGAAATCTCTTTCTCCAATAATTAAATGTCTTTAAATAACACTTCTTGATTTAGCTTTTATGGACTCGTACAGCCAATCGAGCCAACTTGTTAGACCAATTTGAGTAAGCAACATCAAAATATTGTAAGCAGAGTCTAAATAATGTGAAATGCAACGATCCGAGACTATTTCCTAAAATATCATATTTTTAAAATACTTATTTTTGTTTTTCCAGGAATCATTTTTTATATAGTTTAAACATAAGAGACTGATTTTCAATTTAATTTTAACACTTAATATAACTGTGGCAGTGTTCCTGCATTTCAAATATATTAGGTGTATAGATAACTTAAATAACATCAATTAATATTTGTCAAATATCTGTCTTAAGAATTGAGCAAAAAAATGTTTATGAATAAATTTAAAGACCTTTATCTGCATTTGTTTGTAAAAACTTGAATGCGGTAAACTAAATATCTGTAAAAGGAAGCGAAATTAATGTGATTTTTGTTTCATAGTCGTGGAAGATTACGAGATTGCTGGCTATCTTTTTTTATTATCTGATCCAGTTCGTACATTTTGACATTCCTTACTTGAGTGTTTCTACAACAAGAGCAAAGCTGAGCTGTAAATCCTTTACACGTGTTTAACTACTCCTTAATTTGCATGGTTTTTTGTTGCTTCCAGGTAATGTTCACGATAATTTCAAATTAAAATGTTTGAACTTGAATATTTTTAGACAATGGTTTAAGATAAACTAATGGTAAGCTGCAAACATTTTTTCGTAAGTGAAGAAAAAAGCTTTTCGATCACTGCTATTAACCTCAAATACGTTATTACATTAAAGTACAATTTTTTACAAATTTAAAAATTGACAACTTAGATGGAACCAAGTGAACAATATACCAATTAAATCATCTAGGCCCTGACGATTTTTTTTATCTAGTTAACTGAAATGTTTTTATAATGAATTTGTTCAAGTTCTCTATAAGAGATCTAGCATGGACCTGTTTTTACCCAGTTTGTTGCTATACTAGTAGATCGTTGATATTTATTTTAAAAATTTAAGTTAATTTTAG